CACTTCCCCTCCCCCTTTCCCCCTCCTCATCATAATCCTCCTCCCTCCTCCTCATCATAATCATCATCCTTCTCCCCCCCTCCTCCTGCTGATCCTTATTGTTCCTTTTTCCTCGTCATTCGTCTCATCGTCCTCCCTTTCGTCCGCCTCCTCGTCCTTCTTCCTCATCATCCCCCTTGTTCTCCCAGAGGCCCCAAGAAGCGCCTCAGGATGCCCCAAGAGACTCCTCAGGAGGCCCCAAGAGGCTCGTCAGGAGGCCCCAAGAGGCTCCTCAGGAGGCCTCAAGAGACGCCTCAGGAGGCCCCAAGAGACGCCTCAGGAGGCCCCAAGAGGCGCCTCAGGATGCCCCAAGACAGCCTCAGGAGGCCCCAAGAAGCTCCTCAGGAGGCCCCAAGAGGCGCCTCAGGAGGCCCCAAGAGGCTCCTCAGGAGGCCCCAAGAGGCGCCTCAGGAGGCCCCAAGAGGCGCCTCAGAAGGCCCCAGGAGGGCCTCAGGAGGCCCCAAGAGGGCCTCAGGAAGCCCCAAGACAGCCTCAGGAGGCCCGAAGCGGCTCCTCAGGAGGCCCCAAGAGGCTCCTCAGGAGGCCCCAAGAGGCTCCTCAGGAGACCGCAAGACAGCCGCAGGAGGCCCCAAGCGGCTCCTCAGGAGGCCCCAATCGGCTCCTCAGGAGACCGCAAGACAGCCTCAGGAGGCCCCGAGCGGCTCCTCAGCAGACCGCAAGACAGCCCCAGGAGGCCCCAAGCGGCTCCTCAGGAGACCGCAAGACAGCCTCAGGGGGCCCCAAGCGGCTCCTCAGGAGGCCCCAAGAAAGGCCTCAGGGGGCCCCAAGCGGCTCCTCAGGAGGCCCCAAGATGGCCTCAGGAGGCCCCAAGGGGGCCTAAGGAGGCCCCAAGATGGCCTCAGGAGGCCCCAAGGGGGCCTAAGGAGGCCCCAAGGGGGCCTAAGGAGGCCCCAAGGGGGCCTAAGGAGGCCCCAAGGGGGCCTAAGGAGGCCCCAAGATGGTCTCAGGAGGCCCCAAGGGGGCCTAAGGAGGCCCCAAGGCGGCTGAGTCGGAGGTTCCAGGGTCCGTCGTCGGAGGGAACTCTGTAAAGCTTTTCAAAAGCTTGAAATGTTTCTGAAACGGATCGCCGGGAAACAGTCCAGCTTGCCGGGAAAAAATCGAGTTTGCCGGGAAAAAGAGTTTTTCCGGCAAGCCCCCCCTCCCCCCTTTCCAGCGCCAAGGGGGGAGGGGGGGAGGGGGGTTCTGGACCCCCCCCCCTCCTTCAAAAGAGGGGGGATGGGGTTCGGGCCCCCCCCCCTTTAGGGGGGGGGGGGGGGGGGTCTGCCCCCCCCCCACCCCGCCCCACCTATAGTGTATTCAAGGAGATCCAGTGGCGCACTTTCAAATTCCACCCCACGGGCATCGCCGGGCTCTCTGCGACGCCGGGGGGGGGGCGCGCGCGGGCCACATCGGCGGGCGGCAGCTCCATGTGGTGGAAGGCGCGCTGGATGTCCGCCGAAGCCATGTGTCCGCTCACACCTCACGGAGCTCCATGTGTCCGCTCACACCTCAAGGGATCGGCGCATGGCCTGGTCAGTTCTGCCTCCTTGCATCTGGCCTCGGCTGCAGGCTCGGAAACAACCGCGCTCGTCCTCCATCGTGGCCCCAGTCGAGATGGAGCGGCGGCGCTGCAGGGATCCCCCAACGGGGTCGGACTCGCCCCAGCAGCGGGCCAAGACACATAGTCCAGCACGTAGGGTTTGACCGAGGACGCATCATCGCGTTGGAGCAGCCCTTTGAGGGCGGCGTCCGAGGCGGCGCTGCTGACGGGCAGGGCGGCAAGTCACGAAAAGAAACATGATGAATCAACGATGTGCTTCCGTGCCCGCTGCCGGGGGCAAGCCGGCTGCGCCGCCGGGTGAGCTCGCCGCGTTGGCAGCGCCGCGCTGCCCGCTCAGCTCGCCGGGGCTATCAACGCACTCGCTGGTCCAGCTTCGACAGGCGCGACCCTGAGCACGTCGGGGGCAACGCGTCTGCCCGTGAGGCTCGACTGCGAGCTGGTAAAACAGGGCTAGGATCGGGATAAATCGCTCTGGAGCGGCCGCGGCGCCCAATACATCTCCTCCAAACCCGCCGATTCTCAGAGATTTCGAGTGATCCCGATCCGATTTTGTCCCGATCTTCGCGTCGTTTCATCTGCCCGTGATGCTCGACTGCGAGCTGGGGGCGAGGGGGAACTTTTCGCTGCCGAAAGCTAGCTCGCGCTGGAGGATCCAGACGGGGCAGGGCGCCGAGGCGCCGTGGGGCTCCGAGACCGGGCTCGCGCGCCACGGTGGCGCCCTGAGGGCACCGGGCGTCTTGACATGGAACTGTGCGCGCTCCGAGGGCAGGGCGTCGCCGTGCGGCTCATGCCGCGCGACGACGCCCCCCGCCAGTCGCGCCGCTGTCGGAGGAGGTGTGGGGCCTGCAGGCCGAGGAGTCTGACTCCGGGCACATGGCCGCGATGTGAGGAGTCGCCTGGGCGATCCGGCCCCCCCTGCGGCGACTAGGGGCGAGCGGCGGCTCCGCGCGGGCCCCCCCCCGCCTTGGGCACAGGGCGGCCGTCTGCGGATACCGCCTGGTGGCCTCGCGGCCGAACGGTCGATCGCGAGCGCTGCCGCCGACAGGCCCACGAGGTCCGAGGGCGCCGCGCCGGGCCCGAACTCGCCATCCATCCGCCGGCCTCCTCTAGCCGTGTCGCGAGGGTTAGGCGCTGCGCAATTTCGGCGGGGTTCATCCTGCTGTAGCAGTCGATCGACTCCTGGTCAACCGCGACCGCGGGCGCTGCCCCTGCCACGGGCACGCCGTCAGCGGCGGGTGCCTGCTTGCTCTCGGCCGCGGGGGGCCTCTTCCTCACCGCAGCGCGCGGCTCCTCGGCGGGCGTGGCTGCGGCAGGGCACCGAACGCCAACCTCGTGGAGCTCGCACATCGCGCCGAGGATCCACCCTCCCTCTGCGGCGCCGCGATGTCCCGCAGAGCCTCCACGAGGCACCGCAAGGCCGCCTCGGACAGCTGTTGGGCGGGCGGGAGCGGCACCACCTGCGCGATCCACTCGTCCGCCTCGGCATCCAAGTCTGACGTTGCCCTCGGCGGTCGCGGAGCCTGCAGCTTGCGCCTCAGCTCGATCGTCGCGGGGTAGTGGCCGCTGGCCGTCGAGGCGGCTTGGGTCATGTCCTGCTCCAGCTCCTCGCCCTCGTCGATGGCCCCCCGCATCCTGCGGGTCGCCGCGAGAGTACTGCCACCAGCCACGCCGTACTCCGCGACCCGTATCCCATCCCTGAGGATAACAGTCTCAAAGCTCATGGCGACGTCGCCCTCCTCGGCGCCGTTGGCCGACCCTCTGCCTCCACGGGCACGCGTCGGAGTCCACCCGCACCTCGTAGCTGCACAGCTTCACAGGCAGCGTGAGAAACCTGCGGGCGTGTACGATTCTGGGTGCGCCCCCCGCCGAGCTGCAAGCCGCACCCGGTTGAGGCAAGGATCCAGAGGGATGTGCGTGAGCCGCCGCCGACGCTGGCTTAGCCTCGGCGTCGAGATCCCCGAACAGTTCGCGCGACTTCGTGCACTTGCCCAGCTCGTCCTTTTTGGCCGACTGCACGTGAGCTGGTCGAGGACCCCGTTGGAGCCGACGCGAGTCTGACGTCCGCGACGGCACGGGAGCAAGGCAGCCATGATAATGATGGTGCGGATGACGACGATGATGATGATGATGATGATGATGATGATGATGATGATGATGATGATGACGATGATAATGGTGTTCGTAATGGCGATGACGATGGCGACGATGACGATGATGATGCTGATGATGATAATGGTGATGGTGGTGATGATGGTGATGATGATGGTGATGGTGGTGATGATGCTGATGGCGATGGTGGTGATGGTGATGGTGATGATGATACTGATGCTGATGATGCTGACGATGGTGATGATGACGATTATGGTTACGATGATGATGATGGTGGTGATGAGGACGAGGATGAGGATGAGAATCATACGGATGATGAGGATGAGGATGAGGATGAGGATGAGGATGATGATGATGATGACGACGATGCTGATAATGATAATGGTGCAAATGACGATGCTGATGATGATGTTGTTGCTGCTGCTGATGGCTATGTTGTTGATGATGATGATGATGATGATGATGATGATGATGATGGTGACGATGCTGCTGCTGCTGCTGCTGCTGCTGCTGCTGCTGATGATGATGATGATGATGATGATGATGATGATAAAGATGATGCTGATGATGATGCTGATGATGAGGAAGATGAGGACGTGCAAAGGGGACATACAGGGACGGGAGAAGGGGGATGGGGGCAGCGGGAGGTGAGAGTGAGACGCGAGACACCACAGGATGCCTGGGAAATAAAAGGAAACCCGCTCAGAGCGTGCGGCTCTTCACGCGTGGTGCCGGCAGCCTCAGGCTCCGAGGGGAGCCATGCGAGGCGGCTGCACGTCGTAGCTGAGCACTCTGGATGCCAAGTAAAAACAATTCCGTGGTCGCCGAGTCTGAGCGCGCCTCGAGGACATCCGAAGAAGGTACGTGGAGAGCCTCGCGCTCTCGCACCTGGGGCACAGTACCGAAGTGCCCGAGGCACGAAAGCACACAGGGCACTGGCTGCGGACAGGGAGCCGCCGGGGGCGGCGGGGCCATGCCTGAGGCCTGGTTCGGCAGAACAAGGACTGGAGGAGGAGGAGGAGGAGGAGGAGGAGGAGGAGGAGGAGGAGGAGGAGGAGGAGGAGGAGGAGGAAGGAGGAGGAGGAGGGAGGAGGGGGCGAGGAGGAAGAGGAGGAGAGGAGAGGAGAGTGAGGAGAGGAGGAGGAGGAGGGAGGGGATGAGAGAGGGAGAGGATGAGAGGAGGAGGAGAGGACGGAGGAGGAGGAGGAGAACGACGACAACGCGACGCCGCGACGACGCCGTTGCCGACGTTGCCGACGACGATGCGCCCCGGGTCTGTCGTGCGGCCGAGCGCCCGGCGCACCACCGCCATGGTGGAGAACTGGCCCCAGCCTGGGGGAGGGGCAGCCCCGGCCCGCGCGGCGGCGGGGGACGTCCGATCCCCTCCACCCCTCAAAAGGAGGAGGAGGAGGAGGAGGCGGAGGAGGAGGAGGAGGAGGAGGCGGAGGAGGAGGCGGAGGAGGAGGCGGAGGAGGAGGAGGAGGAGGAGGAGGAGGAGGAGGTGCTGCCCAGGGTGACCCTGGCCCAGGGCTGCTACGAAGGCCGGGCCAGGGCGCGATGGGACTGGCACGACACGGCCATCTCTGAGAGATCTGGCAGTTCTGGGAGCTGTCTGGGGCGCCGTGGCCGTCCCGGGGCGCCCCAGAAGGCCCTGACAGCGTCTTGGGGCGCCCTGGGACGATTCGTCCTGCTCCCAGCCCGCCCGAAAAGTGGCCCCCACGTTTCCGTGGAGGCCTGGGCGGCCTCCAGAGCACCGAGCACCCCTCACGCGGCCAAGAGGGCCCTAGGGGGCCCCAGCACGGCGCGAGAAGCCAGGGCTCCCTGGGCCAGGAGCACCTCTGGCAACACTCGACTTCTGGGGGGCGGAGGACGAAGGGGAGGGCCCACATCACCATGAAGCAAGTGGGTCCTGAGGGGAGGGCCTCTTTGAGGCTTCTCGGGGCTGCCGTGGACGAACTGAGTGCAGCCTTTTGTTGGGCAGCCCACAGAAGGACGCACGCGCCCAACCACGTACATGAACATGGCCCCCAAATCCGCGGGGCCGGGCGCGTGATACGAACATTCGCGCAGTGTGCACTCTCGAAGTAGGAGGCCTCCTAGATGGGGTCGGAGTAGAGGGGTCGGAGGATCGCGCCGCATCGCCGATGCATCGGCGATGCATCGGTAATGCATCGGCGATGCACCAGCAATGCATCGGCGACGTCGGCGATGCATCGGCGACGCTGGCGTGAAGCAAATCGGGCTCCGCATCGAGCCGCATCGGCGATGCATTGGCGATGCGGCGCGATCCTCCGACCCCATCTACTCCGACCCCATCTAGGAGGCCGAGACGAAACCAACGTAGATTCATGTCGGGCCTGTCCCCCTACAGGGGGATTTTGGACAGAAAATAAAAAAAAAGCCAAACAATACTCTAAAATACTCAAAAGTTGTCAAAGCTGCGTCCCCAGACTAGTTTTTGACCATGTCGGAATCTTCCTCCTGTAGATGGGCAGGCCCGGCTTACACGTGGATTCATGTACGTGTGCGCCCTTCTTCCGCTCCTGACTTCTCTTGCGGGCACGAACTCCGTGGGGCTGTGCGCCCCCTTCGCCTGCCGCGCCGGGGCACAAGGGGGGGGGCTGACGCGCGCTGCGCGGCAGCGCTTGGCGGCGGGCGCCCGAGGCGTCGCGCAGACCAGTCTGCCGGTGCGGCTGGCCAGCCGAGTCGCAAGGTCGGATCGGAGCGGAAACGGGCAGGATGAAGTCTACAGGGGGAATGTTCAAGTTGCTTGTTGACATTTTTTTGGACAAACTGTTTGTGTTGGACTATTTTGACTATTTTATGAACTATTGATAGGACAGAGTACAGGGGGAACGTTCAAACTGATGAAACAAAAAAATCTGGGACGATTTCTTGACTATTTTTGACTCGTGTTGCATATTTTGGGGTATTTTTCATGTGTCGTCCAAAATCCGCCTGTAGGATCGGAGAGGAAACGGGTAGGATCGCGCCTGGATCAGGACGAGAATGGTGTCATGATGCGATTGGTTCAAGACGCATCCCATGACTGCTGGAGTATCTAGCGGCCCTGGCTTCTTCTGCAGCCCGCCTGGAGCAATGAGAAACCTAGGAGCAGTCCTTCAAGTCCTTGAGCGCATCACTATCAAGAGGGGGCCGCGCCATTGTGCCACCCTCATTCCTGGAGGGCGTTGAACCGAAACCATGGAACGTTTCCCCGCGAGGTGCACTGGCCGCAGGGTGGGCGGATACGACAAACATCCAACGAATTTTCCCCAGGAGTTCGCCGGGGGGGGGATGGGGGGGAGGACGTGAAGCCGCTCGACACTTTCAGTCAGTACCATGACCCCTTGCCCCTCTGACGAATGGGCGCGGAATCCGATCGGGCTCGGCCCAGGATGGGATCGCGCTCGGGATCGCGGAGCGTGCCCAGCCCCCCGCGGGCCAGAGAAGGCTCCGACTCTGGGGAGACCAGAAGCTACTGATACCGCTGCTCCCCGGACCTCTCCAAGGGTGCGTTCTGACCAAGATTCCGAGGCGCATCCGGCGGTGGCGACGAGGGCCGCCCGGCAGACCCAAAACAAGGGGAAAAGGAGGGGATGGTAGGGGTATGGGTACCTTTCCCAGAGATCCGACGTCGTGATTCTTTCAATACGGGGTCCCCAGAGGTCTCGACCCTTTCTCCAGGACCAGATCTTCATCCGGAGTCGTTTTTGGACGGTCCCGGGGCCCAGCGAGGGCTCCTTGAGGCCGAAAGCTGCGAAAGACCGTCGTCCTGATTTTTTCAATGCGTTGGATCTCTGGGTTTCCTCCTCCTCGAGAACCCTGGCGGCCCGGGCCAGATCGCGATCGGAGCCGAAAAGCTCGGCGAGCGGGCCGGCTTCGGCCGCCGCGGCGCTTCCGCCGCCCCCCCACGGCCCTCGTTGAACGGCACCCAGCAGACGACGGAGGTGAAGGCCGAGAGCCAGGTCCGCCGAGCGCCCCCCCACCCCAAGCAGGGGGGGGGGGAGGCGCCTCCTCCAGAGGGAGATCTGGTGAGGGATGGGAGGGAGGGTCAGGACGTCAGGTATGACGCGAGCGCACCTATCTTGTCCTCCTCCTCCTCCTCCTCCTCCTCCTCTCCTCCTCCTCCTCCTCCTCCTCTCTCTCCCTCCCCCTCCTCCTCCTCCTCCTCCTCTCCTCCTCCTCCTCCTCCTCCTCCTCCTCCTCCCCCTCCTCCTCCTCCTCCTCCCTCCTCCCCCTCCTCCTCTCTCTTCTCCTCCTCCTCCTCCTCCTCCTCCCTCCTCCTCCTCCTCCTCCTCCTCCTCCTCCCCCTTCTCCCCCTCCTCCTCCTCCTCCTCCTTCTCCTCCTTCTCGTCCTCCTCCTCCTCCTCCTCCTCGGCCCCATCCTCTGGAAGGCGGGCGGGCGGCGCCTTCACCCTCAGATCGTGGCGGCGCACACCACAGAGAACGATGCAGGCGTAAGCGCCATCGTGCCACACCACGTCACATTGGGTATCACGACGCCAACCACGCTTGCTACTATGACTACGACTACGACTACGACTACTACGACTACCACGACTACCACGACTACATAGTCGCAGCGCCATCGTGCACACCACGCCACCATACCACGATGCACACCACACCACATTCATGCCATCACTTGGGCCACGGATAGAGATGGCCTTGAGACCGAGAGCAAGGAAGAGGAGAAGAAGGCTTCTCTTCTGTCGCTCTCGGCCTCAGTAGGCCGTTCCCCGGCCCTCAGGTCGTCGAGCAAACACCCAGGAAGAGAGCTTGGCCTCGAGGCAGTGGTCGAGGCCCAGGGGGCCGACGTCACGTTCACATTGCAACGTCGGAGCTCGAGACCCAATCATCCGACGATCTGATTTTTCAGTGCGCGGCCCCAGAGGCTCCGACCTCCTCCTTGGGGGCAATGCTTCGCCCTAGATCAGTTGCTGATGGCCCTAGGGCCCGAAAAAGTGGCTCAAAGCATCGAAATCTGGGTAGGAAGCGCGAATGGCACAAATCAGATCGTCGGAGACGCACAGGCCTGGGTCCATGCAAGCCCGGGCCAGCCAGGTATTGCAGGATCCTGCGCACTAGCCAGGGCCGGTGCAATCCTGGTTCTGCAGGATGCTGCAAGATCCAGCGCTCTGGCCGAACCCCGTTCGCGGGGACACGGCATGGTTCTGATACTGCAACTCCACGGCCCTCGCCGTCGGAAGCCGACTTGGGAGCCCGTGGGACCTGATTCGGGGCCCTCCTTGTGCGCTTCGGGGCCGTCTTGGAAGCCATCCTGGGCGTCTTGGAGGGCTCTTGGTCCGTCTTGGGGCCTTCTCTGGGCCGTCATGGGGCCAGTGTGGAAGCCCTGGACGATGCGGGGGCGTCGGGATGGCGAAAATAAGGAAAGCGCATCATCCTGGAAAAAACAAAAGGCGAGCATTGATTTTCGCCTCGTCGGGCGCCCCTGGAGAACCTCGTAGAGGCCTCTTGGGCCGTCTTGGTGGCCTCTTGGGGGCCTCTTGGGCCACCCGGAAGCCATTTTGGGAGGCTGCGGGCGCGTCTCGGCCCGTCGTGCTCGGGCTGCTCTTGGGGCCCTGGCGGTTGCTCTTGGCCAGCCTGGAGGCCGTCGGTTGGGCCGGCTGTTGGGCCGTCACGGGGGCTCCGGAGGGTGTGTGTGGGCGTGGTGCCCTCCCCTGGATTTCAGGGGGGATTTCCCACTGCAATCTTACAGGGTGAAAAGGAAACGGTGCATCTGTAGATCTAAAACTGCGTACAGATCGCAGCGGACCGATTGGATCGAGATGGGCCCCAGGAGTCATGTTGTTCCCGTCCTACTTAAGGACCGCATCCCAGAAATAATTTCGAGCACCCAGAAGAATGTCAAAAGAGTGTCGAAACAGTGTCGAAACAATGTCTCCCAGGGCCCGGCACGTGAAAACCCTTGAGTTTCGGTACTTTTTTGGGCGCTCGAAATTCTTCCTGGCGATCAAGGCTAAAGTAGGTCGGAGCATCATAACCCAGGAGGAGGATGAAGTCCATCGTCAGGCTGCTACCGCGAAGCGGGCGCACCACCATGGCCTGGAGCTCCCGCCAGAAGGCAGCCTTGGGACCGAGGCGGAGGGCAGCGACGACCACGACCACGACCACGACGACCACGGCGAGGACGACCGCGACGGCGGCTCCAGCGACGAGGGCGACGGCGAGGATGAGGAGGCGGAGGAGGAGGAGGGAGAGGAGGAGGAGGAGGAGGAGGATGAGGAGGAGGAGGAATATCAGGATGGGCAGAGGCACGACGAGGCAGGGAAGGTGGAGGGAGGAGGCGAGAAGGCGGACGAGGACAAAATGGAGAAGAACGACGGGGAAAAGGCACAAAGGGAGCATAGGAGGGACGAGGAAGTACCACGGAGGCGAGCGGCGCACCACGGCTAGAGAGGCGGCCACGACTTCTTAGGCGCCCAAACGCTCCCGCAGGAGCCTCGCGCTGGGCAGGGGGCCCAGCAAGGGGATGCTGGAGGGCGAAGAGTAGAAGGGGTACGGATGAGGAAGAGGGGAGGACGGAGAAGGAAGAGAGGAGATAGAACAGGGAATGGGGGAGGAGGGAGAGGACTGCAAGACTCAAGGCTTCCCCTCGGGGTAAAACAACCCTAGGAGGAAGAAGAGGAAGAGGACTATGGGGGAAGAGGAGGCGAACCAGGACCTCAAATGAACCCGTCGCATTGCCCTTCTAGAACAACATACAGGGCTCCTTCCTCCCCCCCTCCCGCTTAAACAACGACGTACGGACGTATAGTGACTATGGCTAAGCTCGCTCATCAGTTAGATTCAAAACCGCAAGTGCATTCAGCGGAGATGCGCTCCCGCCACAGTTCGATTGTTTCTGATTTTTGCACAAGCTCGTGCACACGACCAGCGGCTCAGTTTTTAGAGCTGGACGTGTGGGGTCCAACGAGAAGAGGGTGGTGGAGTTGGGTGCTTTCGCTATCACAAATTTGCCCCCACGTACTACGGATAGTGTTCCCGCTGCGCATAATGTCCCAACGTTCCCTTCTTCTTCTTCTCCGTCGTCGTC